TACACACACACACACACACACACACACACACACACACACACATATATATAATAGAGACAAGATCGTGCTAGTGTATCCCTGGCTGGACTGAAAACTCCCTACATGGACAAGGTTGGCCTTGAATTTGAGCAATCCTCCTGCCCCTGTTTCCCAAGTACTGGCTATAGTGATATTTTTAAAGGAAAAAGTAAAATTAAAACGCAGTATGGCAAACAAAAGAAAGGTCGATCTGTTGACATAGTCATAACGGATACTGAAGAGTTCTTCAAGAGTGCCTCCATTAACTAGAAAATGGGATACTACCAAATAAGAAACTTACATGTTGAGCACTTGGTGGTCATGGTTTGCCCTCTGGTGGCCAGTGTGGTAACTGCAACCTTCTGGGTCCTACAGGGCTCAAAGGAGGCCGCATGACCTTGGTGTTTGGGTGCCGGCACCCGGAGGAGGACCACCTCTACCGTGAAGAGATGCAGGAGATGGTCCACAGAGGAGTGCTGCACCAGGCACACACAGGCTACTCCCGGCTGCCAGGCAAGCCCAAGGTAAGTGCAGCCACCCAGCAAACCCACAGAGTGTGCATGGTGGCCACTGCCCGGGCTACACAGGCCTCCCTCTCTGAGCCTTTGGCTCCTCTGCTCCAAAGTGGAGACACTTGCACAGCCTCGAGGGGTATGAAGAACACTATGATGAGAAGACCAAGCCCAGAATGACTTTAGAATCACACTATAGCCTAATCTCAACGCAGCCAGCTAGCTGTAGGTGCCCAGCAGCCCTGGGATGCAGGGCTGTGCCGGGAGATGTCCTGTAAGTTGGCTTTATGCTCAGCTCAGCGAGACCAGAATGTGGAGCTGATCCCACCAGGGCCCTCAAATGGGCACTGTGCTTCAGGGGCATGAGCAGTCAGTATAGACTCAGCTCAGAACCTTATTCCCTGAGGATCCCCTTGGATCCAATTGCTGGACCATTGGCCATTGTATGTGGAAAAAGCAGATTCCTGACCAGCTCCGGGCCCTTCTTTATAAATGGGGAGCCTGGGAGCCTACACTCCAGCCCTAAATCAGAGCTGGGACTGATACATGCTAGGAAGCCCCTTCTTTCTGGGGTATAGGCAGGCGGATCTCAGAGCTCTGGACAGAGCCATTAGCCTGATGGAGCATCTCTGAAGTGTGGTGAACCCAGGGAAGATCTGTGGGTTCCGCTGGCCAGGATTGGACAGGATACTCGTGTATCCTGAGCTGAAGTCCTGATTGAAGCCCTCAATGGCCCTCCTCCCCTCCCCATGGCCTGACCATATGTGTGCCTGACCATAGGGACCTCAGCATCCAGGGATGGTCCCACCATGTCCTCTGCCTTTAGGTCTATGTTCAAGACATCCTGCAGGAGCAGCTGGCCAACGAGGTACTCAGTGTGCTCCACAGGGAGCAGGGCCACCTCTATGTGTGTGGAGATGTGCGCATGGCCCGGGATGTGGCTACCACCTTGAAGAAGCTGGTGGCCACCAAGCTGAACTTGAGCGAGGAGCAGGTTGAGGACTATTTCTTCCAGCTCAAGGTAAGGGAAGTCGGAGTGGGACCCTAGAGAAGGGTGTAGGGGAAGGTCACATGCCATTGGAATCAAGACCAGAACAGCAGAACTGGGCGGGGGCGGGGGGGTGCCCTGAGCCCCTCTCCACCACTGCAGAGACCTGAGGGGGGCTGACTGGCTGGGCTCCTGGAGGCAGAACTTCCCATTCCACACTGGCTGCCAGCTAGCTGAGAAGTCCAGCCAATGTGTTCCTTTTCTCCAGCTGTGGAGTCAGAGCAGCAGGCTCTGCTCCCCGCACCCCTCCAGAAAGTACTCATGGGGCAGAGCAGGGCTGTGGACACCAGGGCTGGGAGCAGCACCAGCAGGTGCTGTAAGATTTCTCGGAGCCCTCAGCCTGCTGCTGTGTGCTCTGACTTCAGGACCCGGGGAGAGGAAGGCTCGAACAGCCTGCCCCACACATGCTGATCTCAGAGCTCACATCCGCCGGCGCTGTGTGGGATGAACACTAGACAGATAGTGGAAGAGGTTGAGGTGGGCCACACGCAGTGCCGGGGAGAAACCGAACCTCGGCGTGAAGGCAGCATGCCAAGCAAGCAGGGAGGCGCAGGGCTAGTGAGTGCCAGTGTCACCAGGAAGCTGGTGCGGCCCCAGGGTCTTGTCAGCCTAGACACGGGAACTGAGGGGGCTGGTCCAGCAGAGCTGATACCTTGGCCTCTGTTTCCCTCCGCAGAGTCAGAAACGTTATCATGAAGATATCTTCGGTGCAGTCTTCTCCTATGGGGCGAAAAAGGGCAGTGCCCTGGAGCAGCCCAGAAGTACAAGGCTCTGACAGCCCAGGAGTTAGAGCTTCTGGTACAGAATTCAGTGATGGACTCAACTCCCAGCTGGTCAGGGGTCTGGAGAGACAGAAGTGCGATTTTCTCCAAATCCCTCACATCATACCCCGCACCCCACGCACTACCAAGCAGCGTTGTGGACTACTTGAATCTCTCCCTCTCCTTCCCTCCCTTTCTTCCCCTCCCTTCCTTCCCCTCACATACTTCCCTGGAGCCTTGAAGCTGAGAACGGCAAAAAAATGAAACTCCTGATGGAAGCTCTTTGGGTGACCACCAGGAGGCGCCATGCCGCCACTCTAATATTTAGCTGCATCGTGTACAGTTATTTATACTTTGTATTTAAGAAAACAAATACCTTTGTCTACTCCCAAGGACTTCTTGGGCCTTTCCTGTATAATTTCTCGATGAAAATATTGATATGAAATGCATTTTATTTTAATCACCCTGTGTGTTTGATTGAGTTTTGTAGTGAAAGTGTTCTCAAGTAATACATGGGTTAGGGTTGGTAGACACCACAGCCCGGACAATGATGGCCCCACGAGGGAGCATGTTTAACCAGGTCCCCAGGGGACAGCCGATGAAGCTTGTGCTTGTCTGGAATTCTCTGGTCATGGCAAGGCAGCAGAGACCAGGGCCTGGATCTGGGCTTCACACACAAGGTACCTTCTGGAGGGTATGGTGAGCCCTGGGGCTCTTCATAACAGCGGAGAGTTCCTGAGGACCCTGAGGACCCTCACCCTATCTTAGAAAATTATGTGCTTGGGGACTGTGGATGTAGCTCAGTTGGCAGAGTGCTTGCTTACCTGGCATACACAAAGCTGTGGGTCTGATTCCCACCACGGTATAACCTTGGGCGTTTTGGCACACGCTTGTAACCCCAGTACTTAGGAGGTGGAGGCAGGAGGATCTGAAGTTTAAGGTCATTCTCACCTACATAGTGAATCTGAGACCATCTAAAAGAATGAGAGAGTGTTGGTCGTGCTCCGTGACCTGTTTACCGAGAGTTTAGCCAGCCACGATCCGGCACCTGCCAAGACAGGTGAAATTCTCTGCATGTGAAGCCTCGGTGTGAAGGGTACCACCATCCTCACCTGCCCGGGAGACTGGGGAACTCCAGACTGGAGACTGGGGGCTGGGGAGATGGCTCAGTTGGTAAAATACTTGGTATATGTTTGGATCCCCAGCACCCACATAAACTAAGCTGGGTGTGGCCCTGTCATCCCACTCCTGGGAAAGTAGAGACAGGCAGACCCCTGGAGCTCACTGGCCACCGGCCTAGTGAATCAGTGAGTTTTGGGTTCAGTGAGAGACCTGGTCTCATAAGATAAGGTGGACAAAGATTAAGGAAGACACTAAGGCCAGGCATGATGGCACACGCCTTTAATCCCAGAACTCGAGAGGCAGAGGCAGGTGAATCTCTGTGAGTTCGAGGCCAGCCTGGTCTACAGAGTGAGTTCCAGGACAGCTAGGGCTACAAAGAGAAGCCCTGTCTCGAAGGAGGAGGATGAGGAAGAGGAGGAAGAGGAGGAGGAGGAGGGACTCAGAATTGGCCTCTGGCCTCTATACACATGCAGACACATTCTCACTTGCATGTACATAGGCACATAAAAACTCTCTCTCTCTCTCTCTCTCTCTCTCTCTCTCTCTCTCTCTCTCTCTCTCTCTCTCTCTCTTTCTGCTGCTTTTTCTTTTTTCTTTTTTGGTTTTTCAAGACAGAGTCCTGGCTGTCCTGGAACTTGCTTTATAGACCAGGCTGGCCTCGAACTCACAG